GGTGAGTGGCCCTGGGCCCAGGACAGACCCCTGTGGGACTCCACTCAAAGCCTCCTGCCATTCTGACATGAATGCTTTTATAATTACCCTTCACTTGTGGTTATTGAGCCAGTTGTCTATTCACCTTAAAGTAGTTTTGCCCAGCCTACATTTCGCCAATTTTGTTTGAGAAGGTCATGCAGGACCTTGTCAAAAGCCTTGCTGAAGTCCAGATACATTATATCCACAGCATTCCCTTCATCCACCTAAACTGTTACTTTGTCAGAGAAGGAAATCAAATTTGTTTGACACAAATTGTTCTTAGCATTTCTTAGGAAATCTATGGTCTTAGCAAATCCATGCTGGCTGCTTATGATCAGTCTCTCCTCCAGATGCTTGCAAATGAACTTCCTTAGGATATGCCAAAGTAACTTCCTAGGTATTGAGGTAAGGCTAACAGGTCTCTAGTTCTCCAGGTCTTTTTTCCCTTTTTTAAAGAGGGGAACTACCTTGGCCCTTTTTCAGGCCTCTGATACCTCACCTGTCTCCTATGGCTTCATAAATATCCCAGTGTCCTAAGTAGAGCCATGTCAACCTCTGTGGACACTTATGAGATGTTTACTGCAGAGCTGCCTAATTAGCTTGGTGGGAAACATCTCAGCATCTACACATGCAACCCTATTAAGCTGCAGTAAAGTAATAAACTCTGCCACAGGTGTGTGCTTGTAAATATAAGTACTATATAAGTACTACTACTAAATGTGCTGCAGTTCCCAGGCACATGTGTAAACAGTGCCCAGAAGCAATGAACTTCGGCAGCGTGTGCCAGAGTTTTTATTGCTTCAAATTAATTGCACGTGTAGATGTGCCCAGTATGATAGAAATCCGTAACAGCAAAAGAGTATTTGTTGCACTAAGACTATAGGATTAAACAAATTGGCTCCGCACATTAGCATGGATTTGTTAACTTGTGTTCAATCATGATGGTCTGCTTCAGTGCGCAGTATTGCCATATATTCTCCACGCAGTTCAGTTCTAGACATTTAGACTCATAAGGAGAGATCAGAAGATACTGTCTTTGCACTGACACTGAAATAAGACTAGCAAGTACAAATATATAACTGAAAAGAAATATAGGACATTTAAACTGATTTAAATGGGGGCAGTATCAAGGTCTCTCTATATCCACAGCAAGTTCACAGAGGCTGAAAGCTAAGTGGTAGAAAAGGCAAAGATGTCTCGTATTAGGAGGGCAGAGCTATTTGCTTGTGATGGATGCCGGCAGCTCTGGAAAAATAGTCTTTCTACATGCCAAATTATTTTTCTAATTCAGAGTGTTTCCAAAGTAGGAAAGGGCTAATTGGATATGGTTTCATACTGCATTTGGGTCAGGTATGGGAAAGGTAGTCATGTTGGGGGACAGGAAGTAGCTCCAGTGGGGTAGAGATAGAGGGACAAGCAGATTTCTCAACTTGCTAATTAACGGCTAATTTTCCTTGCTCAGAGCCCCCAGATGCCACAATTGGGAGGCACCAGGACTTTCTGCAGACAGGTCTTACCACTTGATAAGATAGACAGATATAATCTACAGGAAAGGGGAAGTCTCTTAGAATGTGAAAGATGAAATCTTGTTGATCCTGTAACCTTTGGTGTTTAGTTAGTCACATATGTGAAATATATATTATTCCTTGTCTAATTTTACCATAGGAACCATCAGGATGTGCTAACTGGAAACATGTAGACAATGTGTCAAGCATGAAACACGTGTTAGTATCCCATTTAACTAAAATGTTTGCATGCCTTGCCTTGCTGCAATTGCATATCTTGACTATAGGAGGCAATTTCCAAACCACCATTTTGATTTTACGTGGGCAAAAAGACTAGGAAAGAATAAGGCAGATAGAAGTGTAGTGATAAATACCCCATCCTAGACAAAGCTCACGGACTCTCAATTAATGTATAAATTTACATCCTGCAGAAGGCTGGCCTTATAATGAAAAGATAGCATGCTCCATCACAGAGTTTGGCTGTATCTAGGCTCCCCTATTAGGATCCTGTGTACTTTACTTCCTCCTCCATGGAAATCTGCTAGAATGCAGTTAATAAGCCACGCTGTCTCAGTGAATCTGTGGCCCTTTCAGCAGCTATATGCTGAGTTCTAATGCAAATTCCTGGGATGGATCCAAAGAAAAGCCTTACAAAAATGGCAAGACGCAGTTCTGCCCCAATCCACATTGAGCTTAGGAAAAGGACAGGTAAACAATTTTCAAGGGGGAAAGTACTACTAAAAGTGCACTAGTTAGCACTGAGCTTTTACAATCCTACATATAAAATATCGTTCCTAAAACACTGACAGTGCTCAAATTATGAAATAAGATAGGTTGTGTTTAGGTTAAGAATGATGAAGGAGAAGGGAAGCAAAAAAAGAATTAGAAAATAGCTCAGATGTGAACAGTTATTTGTACCCTCTCTTTGTAAATGATGAATGTGCATATTTTTTCTGGAAAAAGAATTACCCTGTGACTAAACTGAAGAGTCAGGAAAAGAACAAATAATATAAATGGTTATTAAAATGCTTATATGCTCTCGGAATTGCCACCGTACCAGCTCCTGAAAATATTACATTTCAAAGTGATCAAAGAATAATTAGAAAAGTGTTAGCAGGGACTGTCACAGATTCACAAACTGGAGTCCTTGAAAATTGGAAGTCTGAGTAAGACAACTCAGTTGTTTCATAAAGGGTATTTACAGGTAAGCAGTGTAGAAACTCAGATTTGAAGAAAAAAGAATAGGAAGGAAGTGGTATGAAAAATGGAGGAAAGGAAATAGGGAGAATAGAGCAAGAGTTGCTCCCTGTTTTCCTCCTGTAGTCCCACACCTTCTTGTTTTTCATCTTTAGCCAAACAGGACTGAACAAAAGAAAAGAAAACTGCTTAAATCATCCTTGTTCACTGAACCAAAGCCTTGCTGGTATATAAGCTTGTTTCTTCTCTTCTCTGATTCTTCTCCCCCTAGGAGTGCCAAACCACGCTCAGTGCCAAGTCACGTACCCACTGCTTCTACGTTCCCAGTACCTTTTAGCTATAAAACCTGATGACCTCTGCCTCGTGGACCCAGGGTCCATACTGACCCGGAACAGGTTTCCCCATTCACAGCACCCCAGCTTGCACAGAGCTACTGGTGTGTAGTCCCATATTGGGAATGTGCTCATCATTACTGCTCTCTTTTCCGTTATTTATTAAAATCAATGTTTGTTTATATTGCTTCTAATTCTAATGTGCAGTGTCTAATTATACTGTTTGAAAGTTGTAACTTTTACAACTTTGGGGAATTCTTTACAGTTGCCAGCTGTAATGTAGGACTAATCTGGGAAATAAAATGCTGTTGCAAGGGGTAAGAGGAACAGCACATCTAGAGCTTGCTAGATTATTATACTACATTAGAGAAGGCATTTGCCCTAAAGAGACTATAAAAGTAAGCAACTCAAATTATACTTCCAGTAGTTCTCAGAACTTGGTGTAGTAGAAAATAGGCTTCATTCATGACATACTCTTGTGTCATCGTGATTGCATGTACAGCCATTAAAGTATAATTGAAGTGTAGGAAATCAGGAAATGAAAGGGAGTTGAAGCCAAGGTTTTCATGCATGGACATAACAACATATGGGGAAAAACTCGGGGGGGGGGAAGGTCAGCAAGTAAAGAGAATGGAAAAGAATCAAAGTAATTTCTACTTTTAGAAAAACAGATGAGAGGTTTAGGGAAAATGCAGCAAGGGAATTCTAATGCTGGACTTTTTTCTCCTTCATGACATAATAAAAACCGTATATGTAAATACATATATAAAACCTATCAGAGTTCCCTCAGCTCCTGGCTCAGACCGGTGCTGAAGCCAGTAAGCCTGGCTTCGAAACTCAAATTGTTTTGAAACTTTCAAAATGTTTTGAGTTCCCTTGTTTTGTTGTGAAACTGTTTCGAAGGCTTTTGTTTCATTTTGATTTTCCTGTTTCGAGCTCGAAACAGCTTTGAAATGAAACGCCGGGTGAAATTTTGCACAGCCCTAGCACACAGCCCTCTGCACATAGTAGGATAGAAAGACCTTCCCAGGGAAAGACTTTAATGTGTGTCTTTCTTCCCCAGTCCCATCTAATGATGAGTGTCTTGGCCAAGATGAAAAGGCAGGGAGTGAAAAAGAAAGAGAGATCTTATGGACCACAGCAGATTTGGCTTTCGTGTGGGCCACATGAGGTCTTGTCAGATCTGATCCCACACAAGAAAAGAATCAATTTACAAATCAAAACAGGATCTCTTTCTGGTGGTCACGTCTCCTCCAAGGATATTGAGAGAATTGGAGTTTGTAGTCCTGAAGAATACCACAAGCCCTCAGCACCAAGGGGAAGAGGTTTACCAAAAGGGAATATTGTATTAAACTGAAAAACATTTGCAGCTTGATATGAACACAGTCACATAGATTGTTCCCTTTGCACCATGTAAGGATTCGCTCAATCTTTGAAATAAAACCGAGAGAAAAAAAATGATGGCTGCTATTAGTTCTTTGCTGCAGCAGGTATGCCCTTGCCTGCACAGGGCGCAGGCACAGAAGAATGAGGCTCTCTCATAATTCCATACCTTCTGAAAATTGCAGTATTATACCCTGCTCCTCTGGCAACCAAGGACCCAATGTCTAGGGTCAGTGTTTTGTATTTTCTGCAATATCCACTATACTCTTATGTACCAGCTGCCAGCTGCAATTTAAAGTGTTTGCACTGCTCATGTGTGTCACAGAAACAGAAATAGTGTCACATAACGAGATGTTTTACCTACATTTTATATAGAACAAGATCAGCTCTATGCAACCGATTAGGAATTCACTGCCTTTGACAGTGGAATCTTAGAAAACTCTTGCCTTAGGTACTGAGGACATCACAGATAGATCAGATCTAGTTCGAGTGTGTCTTCTTGTCTGTCAAAGTTGTAATACAGTTTAGCACAGATGAAGGAAAGAAATGAAATACATAAACAGGAATGTATCTTATTTGTCAAAAACAGATTACCCTCCATAACTATTCTCTTTTAGTGCCATGCCTGGTTCTGATAGGGGAGTTTGTATAAAACCTTTGTTCCATAACCTTTTTTCTTACACATGAGCTCCTCTGGTGAGAAACATTGTTGTGACTGAAGACTTTATGCCTATTCCTATTTCTGTTTCTGCTGGAATTTGTAAAATCAATATACAGCATGAGGTTGTCCCAGCTTTGCTAATGGACTTGGCCCAGTGTTGAGACTTGGGCATTTGCTCCCTTTTCTTGTGCCGTGCATTAATGGGTAGGGAAAATCTGAGTAGCCATGCATTACAAATGCTTGGGAGCCTGAAGGTGTCATCTCAGTAAGCTTTCAACATTCTAGGCACTGTCTATTTAACTTAATTTTGTTTTATAATCCCAAGATCAATTGTTTGTCAGAGTGGCTGCTGGGTACATAGCTAAGGCTGCACTTGAATATACAATTGCAAAATTCGGCAGAATAATGGATAACTAGAAATGTTATTCAGCCAAAGCCAAATTAAAAGCCAAATAATGGTTAGAACAGTGATATATTGCAGCAGGATGTTAAAAACAAAAAAACACCCCCAATTCCAGTAGTTATTCAACCTCACAAAAAAACAACTTATGAGTTAGAATACATTATGGAAAAAAGTACCATAGATAGAATATCTCCTGATTAAACTAGTGTACCAGAATTTCAATACACCTCTCTGATAATGTGTTTGCATGAAGATATTTATCACTGCCTATTTTAAACAATGTTCATTGATAGTAGCAAAAAAAAAAAAAAAAAGCTTTAAAATACAGATTGCAAGAGCGAGGGCAGCAGTAAGACCTTAGAGATTATTGTTCTGATCTGCTCTCTTTTGAAGTAAATGGGAATAGCATTGCTATTGTCTTCACTAGAAGCAGGTTTCACTCCAATAGAGAAACCTTAAACCTTCAGGCTATTAAGAGTCTGTGCTTCATCATGGGTGGCAGTGATTGTGAGGAGACCTAGAGCATTATAGAGGAGCAGCAGTGAGAGGGTCTGACTTGAGGAACAGGGAAGAGAGAGCTGATGCCAGAAGGAAGAAGAAAAAGGGAGCACAGTATTCCTGAAACCTCCCATCCTTTTCCAGACTCATGCTATCAAATATACAGGCAGTCCTCGACTTAAGACATTTCGAGTTACAACGAACGGCACTTACGACGTTTATAAATTAACACCTTGTTTCGACTTTCTGATGTCAGTTTCGACTTTTTGATGTGTGATCCAATGCCACGCCACCCCAGAGAACAAGCTTGCTGCGTCGTCCATCTCCCTGGAGAACGTCTGTCCAAACTTACTTGGACACTTTCTTTCAGAAAGCAGGTGAGACTCCAGAAAAACCTGCAGCCAAGACTCCTGAGAAGACTTCAGCCAAGAGCCCTTCAAAAAGTCCAGCGAAGTCACTCAAAGAAGTCTGTCCAAATCAATATGATTGCTGTTTACAATGTAAACACATTGATGTAGCTATATTACTCATCTATAATTGACTGAGTACAAAATTCTGGGTTATTTTTGGTGAAAACAGGGTATCAGGCCTTGGTTCAGGAATCAACCCCCCATTTATAACATTGTTCCTATGGGAAGATTGGTTCCAAGTTATGACATTTCGACTTAAGAAACCAATTGTGTCGTAAGTCCGAGGACAGCCTGTATCCCATCTGGCCAAAATGGAAAGGGAAAAGAAATAGCAAAGCTCATAATACTAGTTATTAGTGGAAGGGGAAAGTGTCTTCTCCTGACTATTCATGTTTAAAGAAATATATGAAGAATTATTCTAATGCCAGCATTTGGTCCAATACTTATTCACAGCTGAATTTGAGTACAGCCCCTTTATGCTTTGCATCCATTTGAAATGGGTGTCTGTTGAGTGCTGTGGAAATTGATGGATTTTTTTTCTTCTCTGTCTCCTTTTTTTTTTCCTTTATGTTTCTGAGGAATGGGGTCAAAGACCAGATTTGTGGAAGATACCTCTAGTAAAAGACAAAAGAAATTATAGTTCAATATTGTAATTCAGGGAAATGTGGCATATTCAATTGTTATGGGTATGACAAATCTGTGTTTAATGCATGTTCATATTCACCATTTTTAATATGAGAATTTATGCTGGGTGGGGGGTTGTTGGGTGTTTGTTTTTTTTTAAATATCTTCAGTGTTTTCTAACTGGTACAGGATCCCAACAAAATAAGATTTCCAAACCAAAGGCAATGGGTAAAAATGATATTATACTAGTAGTGAGAAATGCACGGGATATATACAGTCAGTGTTTTGAGAGATTTTTAAAAGCCAAGAACAAGATTCACCACTTGTTTTATATGGCTCCATTTTGACTTTTGAGTAGAACCACTTGAAATTCCAATTCCTTTTTATTTTATACTGGAGTTGGTCTGTATTAACACTGGTTTAACTAAAACTAGGTGAGAATCATGCTCCTTCAGTAATACAAATAAGAGTTTTCTCTTCTGCAGAGTGGGTTATACAGGACCAAATTAGATTCCATCATGATTAATGTATCTCACCACATTCTTGCAGAGTAGCAAATTAGTTTATAGTGATTTTCTTGAGAACAAATTAAAAGTACTGCACAACATCATGAGAATGGAGATGTTTTCCATAACATAAGAGTAACTGATTCAATGTTAAGATGTAAGGATATAGTCGAACTGGAATGTTAATCATTTGGGTTGGAAACAAATATCATGTTTCAAACAATTATGCTGTGCATGAAGTCTGTGCAATTAATTATATTTTTACCAAGTGAAGTGTAATATATAGTAGCAGAGCACCTAATTAGTTAGTAATTTTTTTAAAACTTCTGAACTAACAAAGACAATCTTTTGCTTTGTCAAAAGTTTAAAAATGTATCAGACAAATTATAAAACTCCAGATGATTTGCCTGGCTTGTGTTTACTTCTACTGTAGCTTATTGTATACATTTATTATGTGGATTATAATCTTCTTTTTCCCAAGTAATATAAGCGTTTTTTACTCTTGAGTTTCCTGTTTGAAAACCCAGCTTGTATTCAAACAATGGTTGCAGGTCAGAGAATATACCAGTTTACTAGATGTCAAACTAATCCTATGCATTGAGAAGTTAAGTGTAAAAGACTACAATTTTCACACAAAATATACTTTCATGATATGAAAATGACAATTTATATAAGATGTATTGTCAACAAAGGCAATGAAATTCAAACATAAGGCTATCCTAATTTTTTGAATTACCATTTTGTCCTTTGGTAAAAAAAAAATAGCTACAATGGAGCAGACTTATATTCTAACAAAACTCGTGTTTTGTCTTTAATGGGAGCCAATGAAAAAACACTTCAGATAAAGGCAATAAGCTGCTAATTATTAATATTCTCTTAAAATAATATATTTCTTGGCCAACAGTAGTGAACTGTTTATTATCAGAAGTTTGGGTATTGTCAAGTTTGTGGGTGTGAGAGCTATTATTAGCACAATTCTTAGTATTTTAATCCTAATCTAGGTCTAATGCCTGACATGAGTTATTGTAGGATATTGAGTAGTTTCACTTCACAGGTATGTACTCTCATATAAACCATAGTTTATCTTGTGAAATCACTGGAGTCAATAATATAATAAATGTCAGGTCATATGTATGTATAACAAGCTTTCCTAGGTAGCTCACAAGAGTAGATTACAAAGATTTGTAAAGTGCAACTGAACGTTTCCCTTGGCCGTTTCAGCCTAAAGCTAAGTTTCCCTCTTCCAATGTACATGTTGGGTGCGTCTTTATGAGACACTACATCACCATAGCAATGAGCTATGGCAACATAGCTCATCAGTACAGTGATACAGCATTGCTAGGCACTAACTGTGATGCCACTGCTACTGCACAGTAGCAACTACACACTAGTTTGTTGCCGCTGCACAGTAGGGTCGAAAATGACCCATGCACTACCAGGACTGTGCAGTACCAGTGGGAACTGCACAGTCATTTAGTACTTGCTTTAATACCAACTACGCAGTCAAGGACACATATAGATGCACTGGTCTCTTTCAGTGACTGAATGTATCTCAGATCCTGAGGAAATGAGGGCAGTTCAAGTTCAGGATATTTTTATAGGAAAGATAAGTATTTGTCTTCCTCCAGAACCCATACTATCATAACCAAGGAAATAAGATATTCATGAAGTTAAAAATTATCCACAAGTTAAACTATTTTCAAATTCCTATTTCATCCCAATAGGTATGAACATTTAGCAATATTATCTTACTTTTTATATCCAATGTCACGTGCATCGTTTGTATAGTCTTTACTGAACAGTTCCGATTAACATCTCTAAAGAAGATTGAGGCAAGTTTGTGGCTCAAGTAAAGTAAGAATTATATATTGAAAGACTTTTGACCTGTTTTTTTAATGTGTCTTTCATATCTTGCCAGCAGCTCAGGCTTAGCGTGGCTCAAGTTCCTCCCAAACCTGCTCCACTTTCTCTTTATTTGACCACCGTGGACAACAGTGTTAACTTTTTGAACAGTCAAGCCTGTAACCTATGCATCCTTTTTGACTTGGACTTCTCTCTAAATCTGCTCATCTGGACTGTGTTGCAGATTACTTCTGCAACATGATTTTTAACAGGAGTTCAGTTTTAATTCCTTTTAGGCCCTTTTGAAACTTCCACTAAACAACCTGGTGTAACACATTGGTTAAATTCAATTATCCTATCTCTTATTTTAGCTTCATTTTTTAAATAATATTATGCCTAGGTTCCTGCTGTCCCTGTAGAAAACTGATTGAACTAATGAAGCCTCCCACTGATTGTACACAATGGGTGTTTACAGAAGTTTAGGGCCCCGCTCTAATTTATGGCGCTTTACATAAAGCACCATAAATTAGATGTTCACCTGTTTGGGGGTAGGGGAGGGAGGCGGATGGAGCCTGCCTTCTCTGACCCATACCAGCAGGCAGGGATGCTTTAGCAGGCTCCAGAGAGGCTGCTGAACTTCCCCTCTTTGCAGCCCCACCCTCCCCACAGCTCCAGGGCTGTCAGAGAGGGAGGGAAGGGAAGTAACAGCACAGACTTGCTGGCTACTTTGAATGGCAAGAGCTGGGGGGGAGTGCAGCAGAGCCTCCTCAGCTCATGGACCCCCCCCCAACTGGTATTGAAGGGAGCCATGCTGGGCCCGTGAGGCAAGGGGAGGCCCCCTTCCTCAACCACCCCACCCAGGTCTCTTGACAGTGGCAGCATAGAGCTGCCAGCTGCTTTAAATGGCCACTGGTGAGGGGAAGGGTGGGGTGAAATGGAGCCCCCTTGCCTCATAGACCTGGCCCAGCTCCCCCCAGTACCTCAGCTGGGGTATTGGCGGGGGGGGATAAGGTGAGGAGACTCTGTTCCACCCCACCCCCTCTCAGCTCTGGCCATTCAAAGTAGCCGGCAGCTCCAGGCTGATCCTTTCCATTCCCATCTCTCCCCCTCTGACAGCCCAGCCCCGCAAGCACCAGTCCAGTCCTGTACCCTCATGAAAGATTAATCCTGGAGGGAACACAAGTTCCTTAAGCTAATACCTCATTTAATATAGGGTTATTTTTTTGCACAAATAGCCATTTTAAAAGTGGTCTGTAGCCATACATATCTGTTAATTCATGGCTGTAGAGTGCTTTCAGGGGCCCAATCTTGTGAAAAATGTAACTTGTACAAGCACCCAATAATTACCAAGGACTCCTCAGAGCATAAAGACTAGGGCTGTGCAAAGCTTTGGATCATGATTTGGATTCAGGGATGATTCGGAGGCCAAATCTATTAATCCAAATTGAATTGCAAGAAGCTTTAGGCTTTTCAAATCGATTTGGAGGTTCTGAATCACTTCGGAAAAGATTTGGAGGAGATTCGGCCAATGAGTATAATGGGGAATCAATGAAATATCTATAACTTTGTTGTCTTTTGGCTGACGTGGCTGAATCTTGCACGGATGGTAGCCCCTAATGAGAGCGTGACTCTTGCCAAGTTTAAAGGTGATAGGTGCAGGGGTTTCTGGGAAACTGCATCTCAAAGGCCTGAAAGCAAAATGCATGTCACTTGTATGTGTGTTAAGCCACAGTGAGGTGAAAACTGCAGGGATGGTAGCCCCTGGTGAGGCCACAAAGCCTGCCAAGTTTCAAGGAGATAGGTGCAGGGGTTCAGGGGAAACTGCACCTCAAGTTGCAGACAAGCAAACCTCGTGACATGGGTGACACTGTGTGTGTTAAGGTGCAGCAGGATGAAAGCTGCAGAGATGGTGGCCCCTGCTGAGGCCATGAAGCCTGCCAGCTTTCAAAGAAATAGGTGAAGGTGTTCTGGGTTCTGGGGCCCTGCACCTCTAGCTGCTGACAGGCAAAACTCGTGATATGGGTGCTGGTGCAACTGTGTCCGTCTTGGGTCATGGGGGTGGACTACTGCAGGCCTGGCTGCTAAGCTACTGTATTACCAGTTACCAGTCAGTCATGATTCACTCGGAGACCAGCTCAATACACAGTAGCTAGCTAATGTAACGAGTTAACGAATAAGGATTAACACCTACAAAACCACAGACTAAGGAGAGGAAAGAATCAATGCAGACAGTCAACTGCCCCAAGACAGACACAGTCAGTTGCACAAGCACCCATGTCATGAGTTTTGTCTGTCAGCAGCTAGGGGTGCAGGGCCCCAGAACCCTCTTGCACCTATCCCCTTAACAGCTGGCAGACTTTGTGGCCTCACCAGGGGCTATCACCCCTGCAGTTTTCACCCCACTGCGCCTTAACACACACAGGGTCATCTATGTCATGAGTTTTGCCTGTTAGCAGCCAGAGGTGCAGGGCCCCAGAAGCCAGACTTCCCCTGCACCTATCACCTTGAAACTTGGCAGACTTTATGGCCTCAGCAGGGGTGACCACCCCTGCAGTTTTCACCCTGACGTGGTGTAACACATTGCACCTGCAAGGTTTGGTATAGGTGCTCTCTATCAGCCTTAGAGCACGCGCCCAGTTCAGGCTATGAGACGTGTCCCCAGGACTTGGGCACTGGGCTGCATTCAAGCCTGAGAGAGGCCCTGACACTCGCCTGCCATGACTTGATCTTCCTTTCAGTAGTGGGGTTCTCCCTCGCAGGACCTTGTGGACCAGGCACTGCCCCTTGTGGGCATTCTTGGGGCTCCACCTTCCCTACACCCCAGCCATAAGTCAGGCTTCAGGATGACCAGGTGATGGATCGCTGGCTTGTCTCTTTGATGTTCCCTCCTGCTCTTGTCCCCTCTTGCCCATCCCTCAGTGTCTTTCTTTGCCCCGGGTGTCTACAGGGTGCAGGACCAGTTCTGCCTCAACATCTGCTTTGGCCTTATCTTCAAGCCGTCACGTTTGACGAGGCTGCCTCCACTCCTCTTCTTGACCCTTTCAGTCAATTGGGGATGCCTTTCCCAGTTTGGGCTCTGGGTGCCCTTCAAGATGTTAACGTGAACAAAAAAAAAAAGAGAAAAGAAAAGGAATAGTAGGGGTTCAGGCCACAGCCCACCCCACTCACGGCTCCAGCGTCTGCGGTCATTGGGATCCCTCAACTCCATCCTCCTTGGCCCAGCTGTCCTGCCGAGTTGGGTGTTTACCCTTTTAAGGGAGCCAGGACCCTTCTAGTGGGTTCCTGTCTGGCCCCCCGCAGATCCGTTGCTATTGCAGTCCGGTAGCTCAGGGAGCAGCTTCGCCTCCCGTCCCTGGCTTAGCTGCTGCCCGTGCTGTTTCCCCGCTGCCGGCTTTTAAATCCACCGGGTGACAGTTTTTGATGGCGTCATCTGCCAGCGCCGCTCCCAGCCACAAATAAAAGTGGCTGACAAACCACACTGGTGGCTTTTCTTGGTGCAGCGCAGCTTTTCCTGTTGACGGGAAGTAAGCCCCCTTCTTAGGGCTTTTGGTTTGGTCCTTCCAAGAGCTCACCCCAGCCTTGGGTCCTGCCATGAGAGGGTGTTCCAGGACCTCCATTTGTCTCCCCCTGGGACACACATACATATGACATGAGCTTTGCTTTCAAGAATTTGGGGTGCAGTTTCCCCACATCTATCTCCTTGAAACTTGGCAGGCTTTGTGGCCTCCACAGGGGCTACCATCCCTGCACTTTTCAACTGGCTGCACCTTAACACACACAGGTTCATCTATGTCACAATTTTTGCCTGTCAGCCGCTTGAGGTGCAGTTTCCCCCAGCCCCCTGCAGCTAGCTCCTTGAAACTTGGCATACTTTGTGGCCTCAGCAAGGGCTACCACCCCTGCAGTTTTGACCCCGCTGTGGCTTAACACACACACGACATGAATTTTGCTTTCAAGAATTTGGGGTACACTTTCCCAGAAACCCCTGCACCTATCTCCTTGAAACTTGGCAGGCTTTGTGGCCTCTGCAGGGGCTACTACCCCCTTCAAGTTTCATCCAAATCAGGCAAAAAACAACAAATTTATAGATACTTCATTGATTCCCCATTATGCCCTATGGTCAGATCTCAGAAGCAGCTTCAAAGCTTTGGAGCTGATTTGGCCAAATCAAAGCAGGAAACCAATCCAGAGCTCTGAATTGGATTGCTGGCAACCAAATTGGCCAGATCTGAAGCCGAATCAACTGGCTGCCTATTCACATAGGCCTAATAAAGACGTTCTGATCTAGTAGCGGCAGGTCCTCTTCAAAATATTCAGGATTTTGTTTTTCATCTACTCTTTCCCAAAAGTGTCAGTGTTTATAGTCAGTGTAGCTACAGCAGAACTGTTTGGCTAAAATAGAGTCTTCCTCTGAAGCATGCTGCACTACCTCCTTGACTGATCACTGTGGATAAAACCACCGTCCTGTAGGACACTTGAGCCTGTAACCTTCTTGACTTGAACTTCTTTCTAGGCCCTCACATCCAGGCTTCATATTCAGACAATACATTCAGTAGAGCACTCTTTACTATAATAATCTTCCTTCTTCACAGACTGACAAGAGGCAACTCACAAGATTACTCTAAGAACAAGGGGTACTTAAGACTCCTGCAGATGGATGGTAACTACTAAATAAAAAGAGGTTGAGAGCTCCTCTATGATGCCCCTGAAATTTCCTTTCTCCTGACCTTAGATCATTGATCTCTACCCTATTATTATTTATTTGTATAAACACTGTCCCATTTTTATTTATTTAAAGATAAGTTATACACATAAGACAAATGAGATCATGAGGGATGTCTTTATCTTACTAGACATCACCAGGAAGGAGTTAGCTTTATCTTTCAAGAAAAGAAAACTTACGGGTCACTTTCTTGAAGTGATTTCCCAAGTAGTGTCATATATTTACAAGATTTATACCATACTTAGAGGTTCAAGCCAGCCTTGCCAACCCCAGAAGGTCTCGGCAGGATAGAGAACCAGCTGGCTGCCCATGAAGATCTCCGAAAGTAAGAGATATTTGAAACTGAATGGGGTATGGGAAGGAGCATTGGGATTATTGTGTGGTGATTTGAACCTATGCATATAGGACTGAAAGGAACCTCCTATAATTGTATTCATAAATTTACCATAAATTTATCAAATTGAATCTAAAATCCAGGTATGTTTCTTGTCCCCATTCTTTCTGTTGAAAGGGTGTTCCAGAGCCTCACTTATCTTAGTAATTTTCTAATTTCTGGCCCAAATATAACTGTGGCCAGTTCATATGTATTTGTTCTTTTGTCAACATTTGTCTTTTAGCTTCATCTTCTCTTCTTCTATAGTGTACCCCTCCAGCCCTTCTCTGGATGTGTATATGGGGGATGCCTATACAGTGCAAGGAAGTGACACACTGGGTGTGTCTACACAACATGCTAACTCTTCAGTAGCCTAATAATATTGCGTAGCAGCGCATCATGGCAAAAAGGGTGCTAATACGCTACTGCACAGCATTATTAAGTTACTGCACAGTAGCGTCACAAAAAAGGAATTCAGCACCAGTACTGTGCAGTAACTCTAGTTACCATGCATTTATTTAGTACTTGATTTTATAAGTACTAAATTAAATGTGCAGTAACCACTGCACCTTAATGAATGTGTAGATTCCCCCTGGCTCCCAAAACAGAAGCAAAATGGCTACATTTTTGTGTAGCAGAATACACACTACACAGATTGCATTTCACATACTAAGGTATTTTTAACATACAAAAATCAAATCATAGTTCTAAAATAATAACAAATAGATTTCATAGATGTTTGGGTCAGAAGGGACCTCAGTAGATCATTGAGTCTGACCCCCTGTCCTGGGCAAGAAAGAGCGCTAGGGTCAGATGACCCCAGCTAGGTGCTTGTCTAGTCTTCTCTTAAAGACCTCTACAGTAGGGGAGAGCACCATCTCCCTTACAAGCCTATTTCAGATTTTGGTAACCCTCACTGTAAAGACATTTTTCCTGGCTAAATCAGCTCTCCATCAGTTTATGACTGTTGTTCCTAGGAACCTCAAGTGGTACCCTGGTAAACAGAGTATCCCCTATTCCTTGCTGTCATTACCCCACCTCCAGTGAATTTGTAGATGGCCACAAGATCCCCTCTCAGCCTTCTTTTGCGAAGGCTGAAGAGATTCACATCCTGCAATCTTTCCTCATCAGATTTTACCTGCAGGCCCTTAACCATACAAGTGGCCCTTCTCTGGACCCTCTCAAGGTTATCCACATCCCTCTTGAAGTGCGGTACCCAGAACTGGATTCAGTACTCAAGCTGTGGTCTTACCAATGCCGCATAGAGGGGAAGCATCGCCTCCTTAGTAGGTGTGTTAGTGATTCTTTCTCCCTAGATGCAGCACTTCGCACTTATCTTTGTTAAACTGCATCCTATTCTGTTCTGCCCACTTTCCCAAGCTGTTCAAATCCTCCTGAATCCAATCCCTGCCCTCCAGTATGTTTACTTTGCCCCATAATTTGGTGTTGTCCATGGATCTGGACAGAGTGCTTTCCATGCCGTCATTCAAGTCACTGATGAAGATATTGAACGGCACAGGTCCACAGACCGAACCTTGGGGAACTCCACTGCCCGCATTTTTCCAGGTCAAAAATGACCTGTCCAGCACCACCCTTGGGTATGTCCCATAAGCCAATTTTCCACCCACCTGACCATGTAATAATTTAGTGCACAACCACTTAATTTATTTGTAAGAATGGGATGTGACACTGTATCAAAGGCCTTTTTAAAATCCAAATAGATGACATCTACCTCAACTCCTGCATCTAAGCTTTTTGTGACCTGGTCATAAAAAGAAACAAGGTTATTCAGGCAGGATCTACCTACTATGAAGCCATGCTGGTTTCCCTTCAACATTATTTTTCCTACTGGACTCCCACAAATGTGATCTTTAATAATTTTTTCAAAGGTTTTGCCAAGGATAGAAGTGAGGCTAACTGGCCTATAGTTACCTGTATCATCCTTTCTCCCCTTCTTGAAAATAGGGACCACACTGGCCCTTTTCCAGTCCTCTGGGACCTGTCCTGAGTGGCAAAACCCAGGAGGAATTTCCAGTATATAATTACAAGTACTGTGAATAAGTTCAGAAGGAAGCTCTACTCATTAAGCACTATAGTGATTTGCACTAAACTCTGATTAGAGCTTGTAATTCCCATCACTTACTCAATATGTTGTAAAAACACTTAGATGCATTTGCGTGAACTTTAGCAGGCATTTGGACTATGTGATGGGAACTTCTTGAGTAATGGGTCTTTTGTACTAATGCAGCAACATTTTGTCCTGTATTACACTTAGCTTGTAGGGTAAGTACGTTTTTAAAACCTCAACAAATGAAGTTGAAACAATAGTGCAAAGTGCTGAAACATGAAGCTGTTTGTTTAATAGCATACAATTGACCCAGTCTGTTCCCTTTTAAATCTCTCAACCTGGCAGCTGTCATTTTATTGTCATTGTTTCAAGTCTCCTTACCCAGTTTCTTTAATTTCTGTTAGGAGATCAAACAAATCCAACTGATCTGTTTGAACTGTAGTTATTTTAGTATCCTCAGAATTATGGATGTTCTAGTTTTTGATGACAGTGAAAATGCCCAGAGTGTAACCAAATGAAGACATCTATCCAGAATGTTATCTCCCAGTAATTTATATTTAAATGGAATAATGTTCCCCAATTACCTGCCTAAGCAGACAAAGCAGGTCACCTAACACACTTAGTTTTAACAAAGATAGCCTGAATTCAAAACATTTCTCAATAAAACGAACAGTAGAGGAAGAATAAAGGTTTACATTCACCAGCCAGCATATAAAACCAACTTTTAAAATGTTATTTTTTTTTACTCTGAAAGATAGTATAGCCTAACATCAGTTCATATGTAGCTGTATACAATCAGAGGAAAAACATTTAAACATCCCAGCATGGGTATTTCCATTTAAATCTGATTACAGTGAAATAAAACTGTAGCTATTAAAGGTTTAGAAGAACTACAAATACAAGCAGTAAAAGAAGACAGTTAGTAAATGAGGTAGTAAAACATTTCAGCAGGGCAAACAGTTTATAGCACTCAGCCTTCCTGTAGCAGACTGTGCTATTCACTACAGACCCGTGCACTGTTCCCTGAACTGCACTTAAACCTGCAATTAACCTTTCACGCCTAATGAAGCTGTTGTGCTGGAAAATTAAAATATATAGTACTGCCTGCTTTTACAGAGACTGGGAGGAGAGCATCTCAAAATGAATGACTTTTCAGAGGCTTTTGTTCAAATGCAAAATTAAAGTGCTATGTGTATATAAATTGGGATGCACTTTGCAAGGCAATCTCATTTGATGTGCTGTATTTTATTCCTGTACTTATTAATTGTTTTGCATAATTGTTAAAAAAAAAAACAAAAAAACCCTCACACCAGTAATTTTATGATTAGGCTGTTACTTCTTGAGAAACAACTATTACCATTTAACTTCCCATTAGGAAAGTCTAGTAGGCAACTGTTGATCCTCTGGATCATGGTGTACATCTAAGAGGTCTAGTCTGATGCCTAATGAAGCTTTGTGGCTGACAAGCTCAATTCAAGAGCAACACAGCTTGTTACAAGTTTCACAGATCCATATGTTGTCTGAGTTGGAGTCCAAGTTTACAACATTCTGCTTTCTTCTTTCTCAGTTTGCTTCCATCCTCTGGATCAAAGCTGGTTCCTGTTGAGCTGCTCCCAGTGCCAGATGTTCCTTCCAGATCAGACAGGATTCTGTGCATTCTTCCCAGTTTTCTGTATTGATGTTGAACAACTTCATATAATTTTTGCATACATCATGATAGGGCCATAGAGGGTGACTCCACTTTCTAGAACCATCTTGAATCTCACCATGCAAAATATTCTTGGGGATATGGTCTCCTCCCATTCTCTTGTAATGGCTGATCCATCACAACCTCCTCTTCTTGTTAGTGGTGTTCAAGTGTGTCAGCCCTGTGTGCTCCAGTACCACTGTGTTTGGTATTTTGTTTTCCCACTTTATTTTCAGGATCTTACACAGACATCTCACATGAAAGCTGTACAATCTCTTGATGTGCCTAGCATATGTAGTCCATGTTTCTGAACCATAAAGCAGGGATGACAGCACTTACATCTCATAGATTTACATCTTCATCTTAGCTGAGAGTTTGCTATTATACCATGCGTGTTCCTGTAATAGTCTCCAATTCTTAGCTGCTTATCAAGTTCTGTTAGTCAGTTCAATCTGAAGGTGAAGATTCCTGCTGATTGTAAAGCCCAAGTAGCAAAACCTGTCAACACCAAGATATCCAGTGATGTCAGGTATTGGTCCTTCCACCCCTTGGTACATGATCACAGTCTTTTTGGGACTAATTGTCGTCCTGAAGCTCTTGCATGACCCAGAAAATCTATGCAAGAGATTTTGTGGGCAAGGTTCATTGTGGGCCATGTCATCTGCAAACAGGAAATCTCTCAGAGCCAGTTCTTTCACTTTGGTTTTTTTTCTAAACCTTGTGATGTTGAACAAGCCTCTGTCTAGTCTGGTTCAAAGATAAATACCATCATGGCTGTCCCTGAATGCATGAAGAAGCAGGAATGAAAAGTAGATGTCAAAAAGCACAGGGGCTGAGACACACCCTTGTTCATCCCATTGTTGATGTCAGAGGCATTTGATTCTCTGTTTCCATGCACTACAGTTGCCTTCATGCCTTGGTGTGATGAGTGAGTGATGTTCAACAGTTTGGGGATGGGAGGAGGCAATCCAGTTTCTTCAGAACAGTAGAAATGCCCTTGTGGTATTCGTTTTTCTCTACACTTCTCTTACAGTTGCTTGACTGAAGATACCGTGTCAATGGTGGAGTGTCCTATGCAAAAACCACATTGGCTTTCAGGATAGATTCTTTCACCTAGAGATTGTAACCTAGGGAGCAGGATGTGAGTGACAAATGTTTCAACAATGTTCAACAGGGAAATATCTCTATAGTTGTCTCGGTCACTTCTGTCCCATTTGTCTTTTTATAATTGTACAAACTGAGCATCTTTGAAATCTTGTGGTGCCACTTCCTCTTTCCAACAGATCAGTATAACTTCATGAAAGTCTATGGTTGTGCTAAAGATAAGTAAGTTCATATTGCTTTCTCTTGTATTTTTTCTCATTGTGAATGAAATTGTCTTTGAAATATATACTTCCTACTTCTGTTTGACTTAACTCACTTCCTAATGATTTTTCCATGCATATCTACAAGCTATAGATTGTGTATCCACCGAAGGTTATGAAAATAACCTGACCTAGTTTTGCACAGCTAGATCAAGCTGGGCTTAAAGAATAGATCTAGCCCTGTAACTGGACTTGAATTTCTAGAAATTAGACCATTAAAGGTTTTGCCCTTACACAGTGCAGTGGAAGCTGATTCAATAGCTCTTTGATTACCATCCTACTGCAGATAAATGTATGTGTTTGGCTAATATCAACTGAGATAGATATATTTAAATGGAAATCCCTAAAAAAGACAATTAAATTAAACAAGCTGTGAAACTTGGTGACAAAGGTTGACCATTGTAGAATGTATGTTTCCAATTTTAATAATCTTTCATGTATTTACTTCTGACATTTAGGAAAAGAACCTATAAAATCAAGGATAATTTCATTATTATATTTAAACCCCAGCATTTTTATTGACTCGGCATTTGGTTTTTTATGTAAATATTTTCCTGTAATATGTGTGCATCAGCTTGACTTGGCAAATGAAACTCCTTTAGACCACCAGTCTGAAATAATGAATTGTTCCCCCAGTTAATTGCATTGCTTTGATAACAAGGAACTGTGTTGGGCTTAGAGAACACAATAAGTGAATTTCATCAGATCATCTGTGCGACGTTTTGAGAAATGATCCTCTGGAGTGACCTGATTTTAATGGAACTCTAACAGCATGCCAACATGTCCCAGCATGCAGCAGTGGATTGGAAGAAAATAGGTCTTCCTGTATAGTAGTATTATGCAGAGTAAGGTTAGCAGCATGCCACCAAGCAGCATACTAACAAAAAAGTCCTGTTAAAAGAAAAATTGGAAGACCTGTTTCTCCCTAATATATAATCCATTTTGTATACTTGCTAAGCCTCGCTGTTAAAAACAGAGCTGCACATAAGCAAAAATCAAAATGCCACTTAGATTTTATCCTCCAATTTAGTAACACCAGATATTGTTGATGTTACAAAGGTGCCTCAAGGACATCTTATAATTTCATTTATCAAAGTCCAATATTAGGAATTGCTAGCTAATGCCAGAAAATATATATGTGTATGTGAGAAAAATTACTTAATTAATCTTGACCCTTACATATCGTGAAACACAGAAATGCTAAGTACTGTTATCATCTTTATAGTATATGGCATTTTCTATTTTCAAAGAACTGTAACACATTAACTAATTAATTTTTGCAATATCTTTGTGAGGTAGAAAAAGATACTGTTCATTTTGCATTGGCACAGAATTTATAGGATACTGGCAATCTGAACCACTTGTTTTCTTTCTGACAGCGTACCTTATATAAGTTGAGCAGGTTTTGGGCCATGTGCAAGTGAAAAGCTATTATTTTTCTCTGTTTCCTACTGGCTAAGTGTATCACAATGAAATAACGCACAAAAAAATCTTTCTTAAAATTAGACTTTGTAATAGATAAGATTAGTCTGATTCTGATTCAGGTTAAAAAAGTACACACTAAAAAATATTGACACTATTTTAAAGATTAGCCATGAGTTTTTGAGACAGTTGTATGAGCTGAACTATTTTTGTTCACAGGTGGCATGTCTACACAAGACACAAAATGCAGAGTAGCCTAATAATGCACGCAGTAACATGTCATGGTAGAAACAGTGCTGATATGCTACTGCATGCTCAGTATTATTAGACTACTGAATAGTAGTGTCATTAAAAGGCACATGCCAGTGCTACTGCACAGTAATGCCAGTTACTGCACATTGATTTAGTACTTGGCTATACAAGTATTAAACTTAATGCACCATAAGTACGGCACATTGATGAACATGTAGACATGACTAGTACATATTTTATTCTTGCTATGTTGGTTCTTACAGTTGTGAAACTGGAAATCAACTATTTCGGACCCAATTTGCAAACAGATTTTTGTGAACTATTTGGTGCTAATGTTTTACATGGGCTATTACTATTATGCTTCACCACTTGTGAACATGTCACAATAAATGCATGGTTTTTGTGTGTTTTGGCACTCTTAATCCATTCTAAGCTCTCAATGCTATAAGCAGTATCAGGAAGATGTGCATCGTACATATATATTTCACAGGGTTCCACCATTTGTTATTATTTTAGGGCTATAATTTTTTTAATCTAAAAAATATCTTTGTATGTAAAATGTAATCCATCTAGTATGTTTTCAGCGACACCAGAAGCAGTGATAGCCACCTGGCTATCTTAGTTCTGCTTTGGGAGCCAGTGTGTCACTACCTTGCATTATATAGGCATATCCTGTGAACAGGTGATATTTCTGCATTAGCATTGGTCTTTTCCATCTCTAATTTCTCTGATTTTAGGGCTTCTGTGATAGGACCTCTGAGATACAAAATTAAAATAGCTCACATTTAATCCTCATTCTTATTTATAATTTCATTCAGACAATATGATGACATGAGCCAAAATACTTGGATAAATTCATAAACAAAGTAGATACGTTTTTCCAAAATTTCTATCTGTTCTGCTAAAACTGTACTTAATGCTTTTCCCAATTCTGGGTCCTTTTTTCTGAGTTAAACCTGCTTCCACTAAGTTTTCTGATCAAAGTCTTTAATACCATATTTACTCAAATACAAGATGAACCTGATTATAAGACACCCCCAATAATTAGATTCCATATATGAAACATTTATCAATTTTATATACTTTTCCAGGTATAGAATCTAATTTTTGGAGGTTGGCCTTGAATTTGTCACCCTGGGCCAGTCAGCCCTAAGGGAAGGAAAACCCAAGCCCACAGGCTTCTGGGTCCCAACACACTGCTACAGCAAGGAAAATAAATCTGGAGGATCAGGTGGCATTCTGCCCTCATAATTTCTTCTCCCTGTAACTCCTTCTTCTGCCTCCCCTATGGTCCCCCTTATGGTTAGACTCTGCTCTCCCCGAGCACATGGGAGTGAGGGGCAAGTCTGAAAACACTGACATTGAGACAAACATGCATATAATAATTTAGTTAATCTAAACTTTATGCATATTACCTTTTTTGAAATTGCTGCAAGTTTTAGCACAGGTTCTCAATAAACACACTTCTAAATAGCACTTCTATAACTATTATATATAGTACAGATTATGCACGATAGCAGTCCAAAGCCAAAAGGCTTATGATTTACCACATAGTTCAGTGGGCTAGGCCCCAGCAGAATCAACAGCATTTCAAGCCATGGTAAACCAATAGCTCAACACAGCTCTGTATGTGTATGTATACCCCAACAAGGATCCATGTGCTAATTAGCCCCCACTCATGACTGGAATTGGCTGTTGTTGTCATGAGTCCTGGGATCTTCCAAAAATGCATATGCAGATGAGGCACAGGGCAATCTGTCAGATGAAAATGCTTTCCCTCCTGAAAAGCCACACGTATCCTTTGATGGTGATGTGACATGTCAAGTATAGGTTGACAGTATAATAAGGCAGGGGGCAGGCAGGGGGAGCCGGTGCGCTCCCCGGTGGACCTAGAAGTGGATGAGTGCTTCTGGTCCACTTCCAGGTCTGCTGCTGAGAACGCTGGGGAGCCCCCTGCACTCTTGTGGGATGCTCCATGCGCCCCAGCATCTCAGCATTCATGAGCCCCCGGTACCTTGAGGTATGTAGAAAAATTTAAAGCTGTGTCTATGTCCAAATCACTGAATCTCTCCAAATAGCTCCGAATCAATTTGAAGCGTTCTGATTTGATTTGAAGAGATTAAAGGGTCTCTTGATTCAATTCAGATTCAGAGATACAGCCACTGAATCGGGCCGAATCTCCGCCAAATCAAATCAGCGACTGAAGCTTGACACGGCCCTAACATAGGACCACTGCAAGCTTCCAGTCGGAATAGACTACTGAATTGGATGGTAAACTGTTTAATCTCAGCTGACTCCAAGCCAAAAGCAAGACCACAACACCTCAGTCATCAAGCTTCAGTATACTGATGATGCTGTAGTCTGTGCTCACTCGGAAGCAGACCTTCAGGCAATCATCAATGTCTTTATTGAGGCATGCAAAAAATGGGACTTATGCTTAACATTAGGAAGACTTAGATCCCCCATCAACAAGCTGTTAATGAGCAATCCCCAGCTGTAGTAATTCAGATTCATGGTGAGACTCTGGAGAACATTGAGTATTTCCCATACCACAGGCAACATCTCTCGCAGAAAGCTGACATGGATGAAGAAATCCAACATTGCCTCAAATGTGCAAGTACAGCCTTCAGACACCTGAGGAAATGGGTGTTCAAAGATCATAAACCAGTAATTGTGATCCCCACCTTACTGTACATAGCTGAGACTGGATGACACCTCAAGCAGCCTCTTGCAAGCAAACACCGTGAGCATCGAGGCAACAATCATCCAACATCAGCTTTGCTGGGCTAGTTATGTCATCCAGGTGTCCAACTCCAGACTCTGAAAGCATTTTTTTTTCTGTCAGCTCAGTCAAGGCATGTGGCTCAAGAGGAGGGCAGAGAAAGCACTTCAAGGGTATCCTTAAAGCCAACTTGAAAAAAATTCAATATTGACATCAACTTATGGGAGACTGTCATCCAGAACCACTTGCTACTGCGAAGGTCTCAGTACTTTGAAACATTATGACAGCAACAGGAGATTGAAAAGCGGGAGGGGCAGAAACAGTGTGTTGCAGACTGAATCAAAACTCTAGAACTACTCCCCTGCATGGAAACACATGCCAGAATTGCAACAGAGTCTCTCAATCCCAAATCAGCCTTGTCAGCCATCTTCAGGCCCACAAATAAGACATAGTGACGGAAGACAATCATCCTTGACTGCTAGGGACTGCTGAAGAAGAGTTGCTTTCCATTACTGAACACTTGCTAGTTTTGGCAGCAGTTTCATGATAGTCATTGTATTTAATGAGGTTTCTTTGTATGCAAATATAAGATGACAAGCTATTTTCCCTATGCTGACAGTGGAGGGGGGGGGGTGCATCTTATATTTGGGTATATGCAGTAAAATATAAAACAGTGTTTTATTTCTTCATACTACTGCATTACCACGTCTGATATCCTGTTAATATATTAAGATAATTCTGTTTGTGTTTTAAATTGAAATGTACTCCAGTAGCCTAATCTTTTCCTTTTAGGTTTTCCTTTTATTATATTATTATGACCAGATGGAAATTGTATAGACATATTTGTAGCTCCTTATAGTATGTTGCTTCTATAAACAAGAAATGTTGACAATTTCCAGAAGGATAACTCAAGGCAGAATTTAACATCATGGCTTTACCTGATTTTCACCAGGCTCCCACTATTGGAAAAAATGACCACATCACTCTTTGTTTCATAGTTTCATAGTTGGTAGGGTTGGAAGGGACCTGAGCAGATCATCAAGTCCGACCCCCTGCCATGGCAGGAAAGAGTACTGGGGTCAAATGACCTCAGCAAGGTGTTCATCTAGCCTCCTCTTAAAGACCACCAGAGTAGGAGCCAGCACCACTTCTCTTGGAAGCTGGTTCCAGATCCTAGCTGCCCTGACAGTGATGTAGCGCCTCCTGATGT